CCTCCCTGCCCTCCCTTCCCTGCCTTCCCTCCCTCCCTTCCCTCCCACTGATCCCGGGCGCTCCCTCTGCACATCTCCTCGTCCCGTCCGCGGCTGCAGTAAACCAGGAGGACTCGCTGGAGTGTTAATGAACCCACGTTTCACTCTAGCAAGTCACGTTTTTAAGTTGCGAGATTAATTAGTGATTGATTGGTGACCTGATGGTGAGCTTAATTCACTGATTAAGCGAGCTTAAACTTTCAGCACATAGGGAAACTGGCTGTGACAGAGGGAACAACTCCCTTTTGCTCTAGGGTACCACTAGGATTCGGCAAAAAAAAGTCTTTCAAACCCCCCCAGTATTTGTTCCAGGGAGACACTTCCAGTTGGGATGGCCAGAGGATCTTTGACAGTGTTGGTGTTGGAAAATCCCAGGAGCTCAGTGCTGGTTTTATCTCTGGGCTGGAGGTTCAAGGTTGGAGGGGCCATGCCCAGGCTCGTCTGCCTTTCCCTCACTGTTTGCACAGAAAAGCAGACATTTGCTCTGAAATCAAACATTGCCCAATATTTGCATTCCAGGTGGAACCTTGAGCTGTCAAAAACCCCATCAATACATGTCCAGAGAATGCAAAGCCAATTGGAGCCTGCAGGATCCGTGCTCGTGCCTTTCAGAGTTCAGCAAATGCTATAAATCTTCCTGCAGAAATACTATTTCCATACAAAACATTTACCCTCTCCATGAGAGTTTAACTAGGTGTCATGGTAACTAGAGCAGACAAGTTGCAAAGGGAACAAAAGAGCTCCCTTCCTCTCCCCTGACTATCCACTGTCAAAAGCATCACTGACTCAGGGACTTCTACAGGAGTTTTAATTGAGTTTGAAGTATATGGTGACTCCAAGACTACAGGAGTGAATCCTTGTGAGGAGTGATATCTATGACAAAAGCATTAAGAGGAGGAGCCTTTTGTGTAGGGTCTCTGCAAAACCCTAGTAAGAAACCACACAAACAAGCAATGGGCATTACAGCCTTTTCCTTCTTGCTCTAGAGGCATAGGCTGTGGAACAACCTGGATCATCAAATACATCATGTCTTCATGGAAGACACAAGGAAATAATATCTTCCTGGAGCTTGATATTAAAATACAACATCCCAAGCAATAATTTTTTTCTGAACCACTGGTATTTATTATTGTTAGGAGATGCAGTGACAGGACAAGGGGGAATGGTACAAATCGAAAAAGGGAAATGTAGATTAGATCTTAGGCAGAAGTTTTCCCTGTGAGGGTGGTGAGACACTGGCCCAGGTTGCCCAGGGAGGCTGTGGCTGCCCCAACCCTGGCAGTGTTCACAGCCAGGGTGGGTGAGCCTTTGACCAACCTGCTGTGGTGGGAGGTGTCCCTGCCCAGGGCAGGAGTTGGTGCTGGATGATCTCTAAGCTCCATTCCAACCCCTAAACATACTCTGAAATCATGAAACCCTAGCAGAGAGCTGTTTACCCACTGCTTCATGGTGCCAAAGCACCCTCTTCTGTGTAGAATCTGTCCTGATGAATAAGTCTGTTAACTTTTAAAGCTACGTTTGGTTTTTTTGAATCGCTTAACTTCCAACTGCTTTCATCTCCTCAAGGTTAAAGTTTTATGGTTCGTGTATTTCTGTACTAAGGGAAACTTTGGCCATGGAGAACTGTTCCTCTGGGCTCCTCATGCTCCAGAATCTCCTGCTCAGGAGTGGTGAGCTGGGGCCTGGTGACACACAAACACCAGCATGTGCCATCTGCCCATCCCACTCTGTCTGCCTCCAGTTCTCCAGATCACCCCATCATCTTTAGAACATCAAACCCCCACAGAGCAGCTTCTCAGACTGCAAAATAACCTTGGAAATCACTCCATTTTTCTCCTGGGCAGCCCAGGGAAGCCCTCCAGCCTTGCCTCCTGCTCGTCAGCTCTCACACAGCCCTGCTGCACCCTGGTTCCTCCAGCAAACTGCTCCGTAGGCTGCACGTGATGGTGTTATCATCCCTCTCTAGCAACAAACCCCTCATGCAGTGGCTCTCCCTGGTTCTTCTATCTTCTCCAGGCTTCCAGCTCTGCTTTATAAAGACACCCTCGGATTTCCCCCAGCTCTCAGCTGATTTAAACCAGCTGGAAATAAACACCACATGGCTCCTAGCCCTGTGCAAGGAGCTTCCTCTTTCAGGTGTCCTCCTGACACCTCCCTGCTCAGTGCCTCAGTTCCACTCAGTGTGGAAGCTGAGCAAGCTATGGAGAAAGTAGTCAGAAACATGTTCTTGTCTCTCTTTGCTCTTCTTTCCCTTTCAACTTGCAGTCCACTGAGATTTGGACCTGCATTTGCAAGATGTTTTGTGAAGTCTGGAGATGGAGAAGATGGGAACTGCCTAGTTCCCATCTGTGAGATCTATCTGTGTGTCAGAGCTGGGACAGAACTGCCTCCCTGTCCAGGGAGCTTGTCTGGTCACCCAGACATGCTGGGCTTAGGAGGTCTAGTGTCAGACACACAGAGGTCTAGATGTGGCAGCTCTGACTGCTTTAAAAACCCCATCAGACTAACTAACAGAAAGGCCTATCCGAGGGTTTGAAATGCATTTCATTTCAGTCACACCATTCAGTGCTTGGCAAAACCAACAAAAAGGGCCATAAAATCAGCTCCTTTGCTCCCCTCCCCTCCAAAGGCTTCTGTCAAGGCGGAGACAAATGCCAAGTGAAAATGAAGTGGGTGGAGGAAGAAGGCATAATAAAAAATGAAAGTTGCAATGAATCAGAGTCCTTAGGTAATCAAAACACTTAAGCCATAAAGATACCCAGAAGAAATAAGCCCTCTCCATATCTCAGCACCATGTATGTCACAATTATATTGCTATTAAGAGTGTTCTGCACAAATATCTGCACAGAATTGCTACACTCCTAACAAATGTCATGGCCCAATATTGTCTCCCAGAGTCAAAAACTAATTAGATGATAAAATTTTCAGAGCTTCGTTGTGTGTTTGAAGGCTTAGTTAAATAATTGCGGGACCCCAGTGTGTTTTCTTACATTGCTTTCATCTAGTCTTTCACCTCTTTACTTCCTCCAGGCTAATGCATGGAAATTAAACGTACAACAAGTCTCAGATTCAGAGGAGTCTCTTTACAAGCAAGCAAATATATGGGGGAATTAAACTGCACCATCAGCTTAGTGTCTAACTCAGAAAATCTACCTTCCTAGACATTCATTTTCATCCCAAAGCTTTGTGAGCCTGCTTTGTGATGCTCTGTGGGATGGGGGGGGAGGGAGTGGATTAAAACACAATGTTTGAGTCAGCCTTGCTCTCTGTGGTGATTTGCAGCAGTGCAGTAACTCACGGAGCTGCATTGGCTGGTCACAGCTCCTGCAGCTGGGCTGGAGGCAATCCCTGCCTGGCAGCCAGGGAGAAGCCCAGGTAACAAAAGTGCTGAAGGACAGGCTCATTCCTCTTGCCTCGTTTGTGTGGTTGGGAGCTGCTGTCCCTTCGAGTCTTCCTGGCTTCAAGCAGTGAGGAATATTTGCAAAGTCACCTTGAGCTACTGCTGAGCTCCCAAAATTTGGCCATGCACTTTGTGTTCTGCTGACAATCCAAATCCATGTCAGGGTCCTGAACAGCTTTCCACTGCAGCCAACAATGCTCTCAACAACTAACTCCTGGTGATGGGAGGAAATCATACAGCATTGTTTAGACACACTAGAGCCATTTATTTGGTTACCCAGTGTTGTGGTTTAACCCCAGCCAGCAGCCAAGAACCAGCAGCCACTCACTCACTCCCCCACCAATGGGATGGGGGAGTGAATCAGAAGGGTAAAAGCTACAAAAACTCATGGGTTGAGATAAAGACAGTTTAATAGAGAAAGCAAAAGCTGCACACACAAGCAAAGCAAAACAAAGAATTAATTCACTGCTTCCCAAAGACAGGAGATGTTCAGCCATCTCCAGGAGAGCAGGGCCCATCACGTGTAATGGTTCCTTGGGAAGACAAACGCCATCACTCCAGATGTCCCCCCTTCCTCCTTCTTCCTCCCACCTTATATACTGAGCATGATGTCATATGGTATGGAATATCCCTTTGGTCAGTTTGGGTCACCTGTCCCAGCTGTGTCTCCTCCCAGTCTCCCATGCATCCCCAACTCCCTTGACAGCGGGGCAGTACAGAAAGCAGCAAAGGCCTTGACTCTGTGTAAGCTCTGCTCAGCAAGAACAAAAACATCTCTGCATTATCAACTCTGTGTTCTGCACAAAACCCAAACATAGCCCCATACTAGCCACTGTGAAGAAAGTTAACTCTACTTCAGCTCAAACCAGCACACCCAGCCACAGAGTGACAACAGATTTGCCACAAATAGTACTACACAGGTATAACTAGAAGGATACAGTCCACAGTTGGGAAACAAGCAGTTGTTGGAGATTTTCTTCCATGCATGTTACTTCTTAGCACTTCTCTATTGCATTTGCAAAAGCTACAGAATTGATGTGAGTGGAAGGTCTGCAGGGGAGGTCAGGGCAGTTTCTCATGAGAAGATGCCATTTGTTACAACAGTTATATTTTTTCTTTCCATTTCAGGATCTGCTAAATCTTCCCCCGAATGGAAAATCTGGTGTGTTTGCATCTCTCATGGGCTGGTGCTGGGTTTGTGCTGTGGGAGCACAGAAGGGTTGGGACAGCTCACTTTGCATGTTTTGCAGAAGCAACTCCAGCTTACCCAGGAAGGTTTGCATCAGGTATTGGCAGCTGGCAATCTTGGCATGATCCACCTGCATCACTGCCATGTTCTTCCTCTCGACTGTCCAGTTCTGACTTGCAATCCTAGGGCACAGACAGTCATTGCACCAAGGAAAAACATGTAGCATTAAAAGGTAACAGACTTACTCACCAGGACAGATTCTACAAAGAGGGTGCTTTGGCAACATGAAGCAGTGGGTACATAGCTCTCTGCTAAGGTTTCATAATTTCATAGGATGTTAAGGGGCTGAAATGGAGTTTAGAGATCATCCAGTGCAAATCCCTTGCCCTGGGTAGGGACATCTCTCACCACAGCAGGTTGTTGAAGGTTTTAGCCAACCTGGAATGAAACACTGCCAGGGTTGGGGCAGCCACAGCCTCCCTGGGCAACCTGTGCCAGTGTCTCACCACTCTCACAGGGAAAACTTCTGCCTAAGCTCTAATCTCAATTTCCCTCCTTCAATTTCTCCCCATTGCTCCTTGTCCTGTCCCTGCAGCTCCTAACACAGATCCCTCTGCAGCTTCCCTGGAGCCCCTTCAGCTCCTGGCAGGTTGCTCTGAGGTCTCCACACAACCTTCTCTTCTCCAGGCTGAACAGCATTAACTCCCGCATAGGGGAGATGCTCCAGTCCTCTTATCAACTTTGTGGCCTCCTCTGGACTTGCTCCAGCAGTTCCATGTCCTTCCGATGTTGGGGACACCAGAACTGTGTGCAAGACTCCACATAGGTCTCACCAGAGCAGAGTAGAGGGGGAGAATCCCCTCCCTCACCTGCTGCCACACTCCTAGGGATGCAGCCCAAGATTCCTGAGCTTTCAGGAGAGAAGATGATCCTTCAGTGTCCCATCACTACAGGTCCTAACAAACTAACTCCTAACAAGGTTAGGCGAGTTCCAGTGGTTATACAGAGTTATTTATTTGGCAATGCCTTTTGCCTGCCAAACTTGGATGGGAACCTTGGTGTTGCAAATGAGAAAGGGGGAGGCAATGTGCTAACCCCCCTGTATGAACAGTGCTCTGCCTTGCTGCAGCAGGCTCTTAGTGCTGCAGCACAGCCACTGCCGTGACAGAATGAAAATGCCAAACCTATTAAATGGTGTCCAAGCTTCTGGAAAATGACTTTGATCCCACAGGGTATAATTTGACTTGCAGCAGAGCTGAGAGCAATAGACTCTGCTGCTGCCAGCACAGCCCAAAGGTACATGGTGATTCAAAGTTACCTTTACAATCCAAGCTCAAGCTCAGTTTTATTCCATACAATTTACAGAGATGACATCTTAAAATCCAGGTGGATGTTTAGGCTAGCCCTTTATGCTGCTGAGGCCTTCAGTGCTGCAGCCAAGGGGATCTGTAACTTGCTTGGCCTCATTGAGCTACAGCTGACACCCAGGGGTCACTCAGGAAGTGACAAAGTACAAATAAATGTACCACTTGCAAGAAAAGCCATAATAAGTCTTTCTAGCTACTAAGATTGCTCACAAGCAGAAGCCAAACTGGGTGGGAAATGAGCCAGTTACCCCTACAGCCAAAGGCTGTTCATGGGGACTTGGCTGAAGGAGGGTCACCACTGCACATCCAAGAGAGTGCTGCTGTAAACCGAACCCTGTGGGCATCATCTCTGATAAAAACGGGGTTTTTTGCTAATAAAAGCCAGTGGTTTTCACCAGAATCCAGCAAGGAAACGTGAAGGGACCACTGGAGCAGCAGGCAGGTATCTCCACCCTCGCTAATTGTGGTACCCAGAGCTCAGCTGGAACAGGGAACAGCTCTGCAGTGTAAGGGTGGTGGGCCAGAGGGGCACAGAGGGTTTGATTCCAGTTAGGAACACCATATTTTTTCAAAGCAGAACACAAGTGTTTTCAGGTGGAACTTACCTCTTAGAGGCCAGTCTGAATTCCTGCAGAGGGGATTGCCAAAAACAAAGAACAAGAAACAAATGGTTAGTGTGATTTCAGAAGGGGCAGCTGGCCAGGAATAGGCACACCCATGCCCAAAAGCAGAACGCTGCTGCTCACCTTGAGGAAGAGGAATGCATCTGTATGCTCTCTCATCTTCTGCAGAGCCTGAAGGTTCTGCTCAGCCTCCTCTCTCCTCTGCTCAATTTCCTTCTTGACTTTGCTAATGTCTGCCAGTTGTTTCTGCTCCTGAGCTTGAATGTCACTCAATATCTTCTTCTCTTTCTGAATCACGTCTGCCTTCAAGTCTTCAAACAGCTTTTGCAGCTGAGCAGTCAGTGTTTTTGTGTTGGTCTAAGTGAATAGATAAGGAAATGGGGCACTCAGGAACTCCACACACAGCTTGGTGCCTCTGTTTAGCAGTTAGGATTGTATCTACACTTTGCACTGGCTTTAGAAGGAAGCAGACAATAAGCTTAGAATATCTGAATAAACAGAGGCTTATGAAAATTAATCCTGATACAGTACCTAAATCAGATAAAATCCAGCTACCAGTGTGAGAACTCTATCAGCACACACTGGAAAAACTCCACTTGTAGATGCAAATTGGTTTCCTTTGATTTGACATGGAGACAACTTTAAAAACACCTAATGACAAATACAATCTGTGGCCTGCCAGTCATGCAAGCTGCTCTGTGCAGCCACAATACAGGGTGGAATCTCCCAGCAGGTTCCTCCTGGGGAGCTGTGTTGGGAGGCTGGGAGGAAGTTTGGCTTCTGGCAGTTTCTTACACCACTAGTTTCCTTACTTTGGGCTATTATCTCTTTCTATTCATCTGCTTCTAACAGTACAGTTGCCATCACATACTGCTAGGAAACTGTGAAGGAAAGATGCTCTGAACTAGCAGTGATCTGGGTACCAACCTTGAGCTGATTTTCACTTTGCCCAAGCTCTTCTAGCCTGGTTAGTAGAGAACTTTGATGCTGCAGCAGCTGTCCCATGGTAGTCACGAGTTTGCCCTAGCAGAAAGAAAGACAGCAGTGAACTCCACAGCAGGGAAGCAGCACAGGCAGCTTTACACTACCCTGGCACTCTGTGGAGCTGGTGAAACAGCACAGTCACATCCTACCTGCCTGCTTTGACCAGGGAGTCTTCTAAGCACCTGTGCTCACTTGCCTCCTGGTAGAGATACAGAAACTGTTGCATTTTTATATGTCTAACTTTTGTGGTAGGTTAATTGATAATTTTCCCTTCTAGGTAAGTAAACCAGAGTACTGACTGCCATGTCCAGTTTTAACCTGAACACCTATAGGGATGGTGACTCCACCACCTCTCTGGGCAGCACATTCCAATGTTTAATCACCCTTTCCATGTAGAAATTCCTCCTAATGTCCAGCCTGAACCTCCCCTGGCACAGTTTGAGATGATGCCCTCTTGTCCTGTCGATATTTGTCTGGGAGAAGAGGCCAAACCCCACCGTGCTCCAATCGTGCTGCAACAAGGAAGTCCAAGGGAAGGGCCTCAAGTGGGAAGACCCGTTTCTCCACCCAAATTCTGTAGTGGTGGTGTCCCTGAGGTTCTGTGCAGGAAGAGATTTTCTAATACCTGCACGAATACTTCTTAATCTCTGCCAGGAACACTCCAGGGAGGGGCAGTTAGCAGTTCCTGGGGCTGCAGTGTGGGACAGTGGAGCCTTGGAGTCACCTCTTGCTTGCTCTCCTGTGCCAACACACTCTGAAGGATCTAGGAACAAACACTCAGGGAGGAGCAGTTAGCAGTTCCCTGGATCACCTCTTGCTTGCTCTCCCAAGCCAACACAAACTGAAGGATTTACCCACCCTTGTCCTGGTCAGCCCCAAACACTTTGCTCTGCTCTTCTCCCTAAGAGAGAAGCAAGTTCCAGCACAGTGCACCAGTCCGTGCTGGGGCAGAGCTGAAATCCCTGGAGCTGCTCCCTGCCTGCCCTTGCCCCCCATCCCCACTCCCAGGTGAAAGCCCCTCCTGTGGCTTCTCCTCTCCTCCAGGTCAGGAGCCTGGAGCAAACCCTGCAGGGGTTGTGAGGAGAGCAGAGCCCCTTACCAGCTGCTCATCCTGTGCCTCCCTCACGGTGATGATGTTGTGGCCCTTGTGGGAGCCTGTGATGAAGCACAAGGTGCAGATGTTCTGCCCCTCGTCCCGGCAGTAGCACTCCAGCAGTCTGCCATGCTCTGGGCACCTCCTCTCCTCTGCTGCTCCACCTGTGCCCACCTCCACCAGCACATGGTCCTGCTGGGAAGCCTTGGCATTGTGTTTGCTCAGATGGGCCTGGCACAAGGATGCGTTGCACCCCAGGCAGGTTTTCACCGCCGGCTGCGACCCATCGAGGCAATAGTCACAGGGAACCTCTTCTGTCTTCGCCTCTTTGGAGCCCTCGCCCTGTTGTCCTTTGGAAGTGGTGCTCAGAAATGTCTCCACGATGCTGCACAGCTGGAAATTCTTCTGCAGCTCCAGGATGGGCCCCAAGTGGAGCTTGCACATGGGGCAGCTGTAAGGAGCCTTGGCTTGTTGCTGGGCTCCCAGAGTCTTCTGGATGCATTGCTTGCAGAAGCTGTGGCCACAGCTCAGCGACACTGGGTTCCTGTACAGGCACAGGCAGATGGGACAGCTGAGTTCATCCTCCAGCCTGGCGCTCCCTCCAGAGTTTTCCCTAGCTTTCTCCATGGCTGAGCAATGCTGCCTTAGCCAGTCTGCGGGAAACGAAAAGGAAGCAGGAAACAAAACTGGAGTGACGATGTGGAGACGCAGCCCAGAGGTTGTACATCCTTGCTCTCCACCCTGTGTTGGGCAGAGACACGTTCCCTATCCTGGCTCCGCCTTCAAAGTGCTCTTTGTAGGCTGTAGCAGTTACAGACAGATGTTTTCCCTTGGTCTCAGGCAGGAACACTCTGGTGTGAGCAGCCTGGTGGGAACAGGAGGTGCTGAGGAAGGCAAGAGATGGACAATTCACTCTGGTCTCCAAGAAAAACTCTCCATTCCATGACAGGGACACAAATTGAAAGAGGGAAATTTAGGTTAGATCTGAGGCAGAAGTTTTCCCTGTGAGGGTGGTGAGACACTGGCACAGGTTGCCCAGGGAGGCTGTGGTTCCCCCAACCCTGGCAGTGTTCACAGCCAGGTTGGATGAGCCTTGAGCAACCTGCTCTGGTGGGAGGTGTCCCTGCCCAGGGCAGGAGTTGGTGCTGGATCATCTCTAAGCTCCATTGCAACCCCTAAAATTCTATGAAATTAAAGTGTGAGCCTGGCAGGGGTAAGTCAGGAATACCCTCTGCTTTGCCTCTGGCTCCACAACAGTCACAGATGTTCTGCTGAGAGGTAAAATAGGGAGAATGTTGTGAGAATTTCTGATTGCTAACGGACATGTGAGCAATCCAGCCTTGCTAGCAGGGCCTGAGCAAGCTGCAAGCCAAGCTGTTCAAGGACACAGCTGCAGCTGGAATGTGGGAAAGGAGGTAGCAAGATAAGCAGCTCCTGGCTGTGGGATGCAGGAGCTGAAGATGGCTAGAGGTGGAGAACAATGATTGGGGCACTTTGATTGGTATGTTAATAACCAATTATGTTGTGTGTAAGGTGGGCTAGTGATAGTAGTTAACCAATGATAAGTGGATGCTTATAACAGGTGTGTATACAAGTCACTTTTGTAAATAATGAAGTTGAAGCTTGCTTTATCACTCACACTGAGTTGGCTGCTTGCTTCCCTGCACAGCCTACCCCTGCAGAAGAACCCAGAGGAAAGTTTTCCTGGGGCTCCTTGAAGCTGTTCTCTTACCTGCAGCCAGCTGACAGGAAAGTGAGGGCTGGTAAAAGCACTCAGCAAGGCTCTCTAGGATAGGAATATCTCTGTCAAGAGCTCTGCTTACTTCACTTTGTGCCTGTACCACCCAAGACCAGGCAGAGCCTGGGAGACCCAACTTTACCTGCATGATTTCCCATATAATTCTGGTGCATAAAATGCAGAAGCAAAAACACTTTCTTCCAGGACTGAATACGAATTTCTTTTAGCATATGCAAACCTGTAGCATCCCGCAAGGTCTTTCACTGTCCCTGCTGGGGTGAAGAGCTCCTGCTTGGACTTCTTCATGCAAATCCCTTGACTCTGTCTGAAGGCAGCAGAGCCACAAGCAGCAGGCAGGAATATCATCCCTTCCTCCCCAAGCTGTTTGGACAATCAAGAACTTACCAATCCAGGCCCCATAGGGCATAGACTAAAGGCACAGGAATTTTCCTCATGCTTACTCCCTTTGATGTGTGATTCTTCCATAGGTGAGGAGAACATTAAAATTAAGGCAAGAATTAGGTAAGTGATCAATCAGATCAGTGTTGCTGCTACTTAGTTCTGTAGCAGTTGATGTTGTGCTGTCAACTTTCAGGTAAACTAAACTGCCATTGAGTTTTGCAAATGCAATGACTTTAATAACATGAAGCCAACGCAGCATTCGATACAGTCAAGCAAAAACAAGCAACTTAATGGTACTTCCATCGTGATTAACAAAAGAAATTAGAGTAGCTCTGGAAGGAAGAGGCAGTGTACTGTACCCCACAGAGGCCAAGAGAGCAGCCACTGCCCAATTGCTGCTATGTTGGCCTAGCACAGCCTCCAGGCACCAATTCCTAAGCCTGGAAATCACCCCCATTCCCAAACCTGGAAACACAAAACACCACCTTGTCCCCCCATCACCACAGGAGCTTCAGAGCCAGCAGACACACTGATGGTAGCATGGATGGGACACTTTGAAGGGATGCTTACTGCCTCTGTAAGCATGAGGCTCTTAGCAGGAGCTCCAGCTTTGACAAACATGTTAAAAAAAGTGTTTCTTTTGCCCTTTAGTCCGCACCAGACACTGGGAGTTGTTGGACCTAGGAACACAGAGAGTTCATCATCAGGCATTTGCAGATAGCATTCAAACTGGGCACAAAAGCTTCCAAGCTTCCAGCAACTTGCATTGCTGCTGTCCACCTCCCAGCAGAGACAGCCCTCCAAGGAGCTCTGCACGCCTGGGATGGCACTGTGCATAGCTGTGTCCTGTCCTGGTTTTGGCTGGGAGAGAATTCATTCTCTCTTCTGCAGCTGGTACAGTGCTGTGTTTTGGTTTTGGTAGGAGAATAATGTTGATAACACACTGATGGTTTGGCTGTTGGTAAGCAGTGCTTACCCTAAACCAAGGACCTCTCAGTGCCTCATGCTCTGCCAGGGAGGAGGTGCACAAAAAGCTGGAAGGAGGATAGCCAGGGAAGGTGACCTGAGCTGGCCAAGAGGCTATTCCACACCATAAACCATCAGTACATAAACTGTGGGGAGTTAGCTTGAAGGGGCTGATCACTGCTCAGGGACAGCTGGTGGGAAGCAATTGTATTGTGCATTACTTGGGGTTTCTCTTTCTCTCCCTCTCCTTTTTATTAGTTATTGTTAGTAGCAGCAGAAGTATTATCACTAGATTTTGCTTTGTTTCTGCTATGAAACTGTTTTTACCTCAACCCAGAGGTTTTGCAACTCTTTAAATAACTACCATCCCATTTTAAAAGTGGTACGTTGATTGGAGCTGCTGAAATTTGAAGAGGTGGAAAAACCAAAGGTAGGCTGAGAAAATCCATGAGGTGAGAAAGCACCTAGAAAAATAAATTTTAAAAAAAGCACATTATGATTAACAGATAATTGTGCAGATTTGGATATATCCACATTGATGAAACTTTACTTCCCAATCCAACTCATAGACATGTAGAACCATCAAGGCTGGAGGAGACCTCTGAGATCAGCAAGTCCAACTCTTTACCTGTCACTGCTATAACCCCTGTACCATATCCTCCAGCACCAGATCCAGATGCCTCTTGAACACCTCCAGGGACGGTGACTCCACCACCTCCCTGGGCAATATCCCAGTGCCTGAACACCCTCACAGGGAAAATATTTCTCCTGACATCCAATCTGACTCTGTCCTGTCTCAACTCAAGGCCATTCCCTCTAGTTCTCCCACCACAAAAGTCATCCAAGTCCAACCCACCCAAGCCATTAAAAGCATATGCTAACTGAAACACCTTCTGCACCTGTTACCTGCTCCTACATAATTCTGAGGCAGTTTGACAGCAGAAATGCTGCCTTCCACAGTTTCAAAGTGTCTTTTTTGCTTTTTATTTCCAACTGCATTTTAGATTTTAGTTTTCCATCATGGTCCTGCAGAACTTCATTAGGCATTTTGAAAAACCTCCCAGATGAACTTCCACATATAAGAAATGTGTGAAGCCATTTGAGAAACCCTTATTTGCTTAGGAGCATTTCAAGTGATTCTCTAGAACTGTCAAAACATCCTGGCATGGCAGGTAACAAGGAGTTAATTCTATGCTCAGGAACTTGCAGAATGCTTTTATTCAGACCTTCTCTTGCATGTAATGCATCTCAATATCGTGGCATTTTCTGCTCTGGGCTCAAGCACCATCAAGAGAGCAGCAACAAGGGACCCTTAATTTTTGTCCCACTGTGCACTGTAGGTTGAGCTTAGAATACCTTGTAAAAGAGTAGAAGTATCTACACAGAAAGAGCAGATTACTTATGTCATAATACAAACTCCACCCGTTGCTGCCATAACGTGCTCTCAATTTTCCCCTTGAATCAAAGGAATGCCACAGAGAGGAGATGTTTCTATTCTCTTCTCAATCCTCACAGAAACCCCCTAGGACTTTCACAACTCCTTACCCAGAGCCCGTTTTAACAGGGTGTATTTAAGGCATGTTCCACAGCACTGCAGCCCAGGACAAGTTCCCTTTTCTGTACACATATGTGCAAACAATCACCCAATGTTAGCAATCAGCTCTTCTAGAGGTAATTGGTGGCTCATTACAGGTCTTTTAAGAAAGATGCTTTGTTGACTTCTCCATTTTGCTTTTGAAGTGGAGAAACGATCACTTACCTGGTAGAGTTTGTGATTGAGCTAAGAGCCCCATGCGTACGAGGAATTCCTGGAAAAGCCTTAGAATTTCCTTTGTTGTTAATTCATTCAAATTAGTGTATGGCTTTGGCAGGTTCACAACACCCACTTTAGAAACTGGTTCATATTTCCTAAAACATGCACAAAGAATCACAAAATCACAGAATCATTCAGGTTGGAAAAGACCTCCAAGACCACTGAGTTCAACCTGTGACCCATCAGCACCTTGGCAACTAGAGCAGAGCACTGAGTGCCATGTCCAGTCATACCATGAACACCTCCAGGGATGGATACTCCCCTGGACCGCCCCCA